CTCTGTCACCCAGGCTGGAGTACAGTGGCACCATCTTGGCTCACCGCTTTTCTGCCTCCCAGTCTTAAGCTATCTGCCACCTCAGCCTCCTGATTAGCTGGGATTACAGGCGCGTACCACCATGCCTGGCTAATTTTTATATTTTTGTAGAGATGAGGTCTCACTACTGTGTTGCACATGCTGGTCTCGAACTCCTGAGCTCAAGGGATCTTTCTGCCTCAGCATCCCAAAGTGCTGAGATTACAGGCGTGAGCTACTGCACCTGGCCATAATTTCCATTTTTTTAGTACAGGAACCTGACATCGACATTCAAAGGGGGTTAAGTAACTTGCCTGAAGCCACAGAACTTTAGCCACGTGTGTGGTGTAATCCCAGCACTTTGGGAGGCCAAGACAGGTGGACCGCTTGAGCTCAGGAGTTTGAGACCAGCTTGGGCAACATGGTTGAAACCCCGTCTCTACAAAAAATGCAAAAAAAGTAGCCAGGCATGGGGACACTTGCCTGTAGTCCCAGCTACTCAGGAGGCTGAAGTGGGAGGATTGTTCGAGCCTGGGAGGTCAAGACTGCAGTGAGACAATAGTAGCGTCACTGCATTCCAGCCTGAGTGACGGTGAGACTCTGTCTCAAAAAAAACGAAAACAAAGAAAAAAAGAACTAATGAGGGGTGGAGATAGGATGTAAACTTGGGTGTACCAGGTCCCAGTCCAAGGCTCCTCCCATGAGAAAAAGTTGAACATTTCAGGGTTCTGGCATCTTGTTTAGCCTTATTAAAATCTACACATGGTGGCTTAATTCAACGGCTGTTAAATGTCATGCTTGCTGTTTTAATGTGCATTTTGACCTCTGATTTCTGAGTGACCTGTAGCCCTGTGGAATTTAGAGGGATGGGGCTTTGAGGTCCCCAAGTTCTGTTTTGCCAGGGTGTGTTACAATTGAAGAGAGTGTGTCTGGGTGCCAGATGGTTTTGGAAACGTGGAGAAACTCATGGATTCACACCCCTCAATCGACATATCAGTTGGTAGCAACAAACTATTTGAGCTCTCTGAATCTGTCCAGATATGATCAGGGTTGGCAGGAAGGAAAAAGACAAGTGGGACCTTCTTTTCAAAGAGCCCTCAATCTACCTGGGGAGGTGGGAGGTGGCACAGTTCTCAAAGAATGAGATGCCTAAGTCTGAGGTTGGGAGTTTCATCCTCCAAAGTTGCTATCTTGGGCCCTGTAAGGTGATTTTAAGAAGCTTGAGTAGGTTGCCAGTATTTAAAAATCTGGAGATTTCACATAAAAGTCGGAATTTCTGGCTCCTCTTGAAAAATGGGAAGATCTGGCAACCCCCTAATCTGTAGTCCTGCATGGCAGCAGTCCTCTAGAGGTGAGTCTAGAGTCCCTTTTGGTTGGGACACCTACTGTCCTGTTTGCCATGGCCTTCACCCAGCATGTGTCCCCTGTGTACCTGGAACTTCTCCTGCCCATACGTAAATGCTGCAGGAGGGCTAGGAAGCAGCGTGCTTCTGCCAAGCCCGAGGCTGGAAAGGAATGCAGGGCTGCATTCCCGGGGGTGGGGGTGGTGTGAGCAGAGCTGCAGGGAAACCACTCCCAGTAATGCAAATAAAGCAGTAGTACCTCGGCTCTTGTAGACGCCGGGACAGTGCACGCAGGGCAGCCAGGACCTCAGCTACAGAGTCGGAGAATAACTCGAGGACCCCTGGGAAACATGGTGAGTGAGCACACCCCAGATCTGCTCCTTCTGGCACAAACATAGAAGAATGATGGCTTAAAACAAAACTATATTTAAAAAATTAGGAAAATCTCTATGGGCCAGGAATGGGAGAGAAAACCTAAGTGTGGTGAATGGGCTTGCAGCCCGCAGTACCCAGAATGCAGGGAGCAGTGGCAGCCAGTCCCTCAGGGTCCATATGGGATGGGATTTGGGTGGGCCCTGCTTGCGGGGAGAAGGAAGTCAGTCAGGAGGCGGGCTTTGTTCCTAGTGAGTACTGAAATCTCTCTTTGATGGCGCCATACATAACTGGAGACATGCTGCTTATGTGTGGTCCAGGGAAGAAAGGAAAACTCCTGGGTGGAAACAGAAACTTGTATTGTGCTGTGCTTGGGGCCAGTGTTGAAAATTGTGTTACCGGTGTACTCCCAAGGTAGGCCGGTATTCCCTTTGTATCTGCTTCATAAGAGGAATTCTGAACAAATTAATCACAGAAAAAATGCTATTAGGGGCTGGACACGGTGACTCAAGCCTGTAATCCCAGTACTTTGAGAGGGAGAGGCAGGAGGATTAGTTAAGCCCAGGAGTTTGAGACAAGCCTGGGCAACATAGCAAGACCCCATCTCTATAAAAAATACAAACATTAGCTGGGCACAGTGGCATGTGTCTGTAGTGCCAGCTACTTGGGGGACTGAGGCAGGAGGATCACTTCAGCCAGGGAGATCAAGGCTGCAGTGTGCCGTGATTCTGCCACTTCACTCCAGCTTGGGTGACAGAGCAAGACCCTGTCTCAAAAAAAACAGTGCTCCTGGGGGCTGTACTTAATCTTCTTAAGAGGTTGTATAGCGGTGCTTTGTCACCTGTTCATTAAGGGATGCTGAGGTCCCTTAGCTGGGACACTTTGCTCGCAGAGCTTGAGAGTAATGAAACTATACTTCACCGAATCAGGGTGCAGGAGAGAAAAGGATCATTTGACGCAATCTTGGTGCCTTCCCTCATTTTACTGATCCAGAAGTTGAGACCCAGAGTTTTGCCCAAGATCACACAGCTGGTCAGTGCAGATGCAGGACTGAGGGCTGAGTCCTGAGCTCCATCTTGGCTTTGTCTTTTCCCTTCTCCTCCCCTCCCTTCCCCTCCTCTCCCTTCCCCTCCCCTCCCCTCCTTACCCCTCCCTTCCTCTCCACTCCCCTGCCCTCCCCTCCCCT